CATTTTTCAATTGTAGTCTTTTAAAAAGGCATCTGAAATAATAAACTAAGTGCAATCTAGTGTTGGCAGTAATATTGATTTTTTTGATAAATATTGATAATGAAATATCTGAAACTCTTCCGCAGAATAGATACAAAAGTTTACAACCAACTCACTCATTTTATTTGCTCCAGATGAATATTGTTGGTGGTAAAGGGCTTGAATTCTGGCGAGAGATTGCGTGTATTGAGCACAATTTTACTCAAACTCACCCAAAGTGCGTACACAAAGTATATTGGCTATATAAAACGGTATAATGGGTCTGTGCGTCAAAAATCTATATGGTAGTAGTTATTCCCCTATGGTATCAGTGTCCAAATTGTGGCCAGTGAAAATGCAGAGTGGCTAGTAACTTTGGAAAACCACTAGCCACAGTGGCTGGTGAGCAAAAAAGTTAACGTCAAGTCAGTGACTTCCCGAAACGAACGTAAACAAACAATGGATGAAGCAGTGAGTGTTGTATTGGCTGCCCTGTGATCAGAAAAAAGTAAAAAAAGAAAGAAAACCCGACAATGGACACGTTCCTGGATTGCTCGAAGAGGACAGTATGGGCTGTCAATCCTCCAAAGAGAACTTGAGGTAAAATGTTGTTTTTTTATATATTTTTACTTTTAGTTTTAACGTTAGCACCATCGTCTCTCTATCGTTTCGCCATTTTTGAATGTGTGAATGGAAAAGCTTCTTTGATCCCATTGGTCAACCTCATACATGTGACGGAACCCGTCGTGGACGACCGTTAAAAAAATTAAACATGCTAGTCTTTTTGTCGTGATGTTGTGAAGCATCGCAGACGCGACGTAGGTTGTCGCCCACTATGGCACTATACGAGATGATACGATCGAATCTTGCGTCCCCACGCTAGTTGTCGTTTACGAATCCCCACGACACCCTGCGTCAAACGGATCTTGCCAAAATCGGGATAAAATCATGTAATCTGAACCAGGCATAAGATACTTTTTGACTGTAGTATATGGCCCTATTTACACTTGATATTAAGAAGGGGTTTTCGCAATCCGATCATAAGTGGACAATGTTAAATACAGCTGTTAAAGGGGTCTAAAACGTTTTAATCTTCTTTTACATGTAGTTGAAAATGCATCAAAAAGCATTCGACCAGATTACTTTCGTAGTGTAAACGGTCATGCGGTCAAATAGGTTCGAACAGCCAAAAAAGACTGACTGGAAGTGCACTAGTGAGACAGGATTTAAACTTAGTCAGCTGAATACCTTAGTTTGTTTTGAAGATGTAAAATATACCAGTCACAATGTTCTCACCATTCCTGATTTCTAACACAATGTTTCGTGTGGTTTTGCTTCTATCAGAGTAGAAACCAAAGCTGCTGCTCTTTGTAATTTTTTTCGAACCTTCAGTCACGTTCATCTGTAAATTGCACAAGCTTATTTCATTCATTAGATTGAAATATCTGAAAATGCTCATACATCTATCCACCCATAGACCTTGAAGAAATCAGGACACAAGTGATTGAAAGTGGACAAATCTACTCATCTACTGTGAAATAGATTCCTCATCTACTTGTGAAATTTGTATGGAAAGTTGTGAGGACACAAGTTGTATGGACCAATTTTATGGCTATTTAGGAGCTTCTGGAGGTTTAGTTCGTGTTCACTTTAATTATATGTAAGATTGGCCAGGGTGTTCTTCACCTTTTGACTGTTGGTTTGGACCAACATGAGGGTGAGTAAATGATGACAGAATTGTACGTTTTGAGCAGGTCTGTCTGCACAGGATGGGTCGGTAGCAATACTTCAGTGCTGATTAGTTGGATGTTGTTTGAGCTGCACCTGGAGAAAGTATGTCTGGAAGATCTCTTCAGAGAGAGGATGTTTATGAGTTCTACAGGCTTGCATTGAGCGGGGCAATGGTGTACTGGAGCATGCGGTGGGGCAAGTACACGTGCAGGACTGAGAGAGAAAGGAGAGGAGCCAGTCACTGTTTAGTATCTTTACAGGACTGTAGCTAATAAAACTAAACTGGACCTGAGGGGAAGCAGCTGAACTTCCTGTAGCGGTTGTATTTATTTATTCGGAGGGTCCGTTTCAGGTCCCCTGAGCAGCCAGTAAACAATGAGCTTTCCTCTGCTCCAGATAGACTTTTTTATTCTTATTTATTTATGATTTCCCTGAAACCACTTTAAGTTGCAACTTGATAGCTCCTAGCTTGTGAAAACGCTGGTTTCATAGAGATCCCCAAAAAAGATCGACTGGCCTGTCCCTTATTTCTTTTCAGGTCTTTTAATTCCGGCCCCTGGCCACTCACGCAAATAAATACCTTTCTTCTTAAACATACATTGGCTAATTAATCTATCCCATCTGCTTTGCGCTCTACATCACTTCTATGACACAGAAGTTTCCCGAAACTGATTTGGCTCATGTTGCGTTGATGACTCGGACACCGTGAAGAAAACTGGAAAATAAAATTGAGCTGAATTTGCTGTACAAATAAACACAACCTGATGCTTTTCTACTTTTCACATGTCCTGCAAGATTTTTTTAAACATAAATGGAAGTATTCACAAGCAGTACATATTATTCGTGTTATATTGTTGTTAAATTAATACCATATCATGCTAATGCTATTTTAATTCTTTCATTTTTAATGAAAGATCATTCTGAGTATTAAAAAATCGGCTATTGTTTTCCTGTTGTTGAGAACAGATGATGCATCTGTGATCTTTGAGCATCTCTTGAGGAAACGGCAGGTTTCACAGACAGTTGTTTCTGGCTGTTGGAACATCTGGTCAGCCAAATGAGGATTTGTCTTTATTCCCATTGGTAATGGAAGTGAATGGTATAGTTGTAATATTTAAGGGAAAAGTTGTTTTTCGAACTTTATTTAACCCTGAAACATTGTTTGGGAACTTGCTCCGGGGCTCGCAGTACAACATTCCCCAACATGTCATAAAGATGGAACGTGGAAAAGAAAAAGAAAGTTAACTATATCGTGATGCATTATTTAAGTTTAGGATGTGCGGTTTCAAATGCGTAAAAAACACATTATTTTCACAATTTAGCCGGCGTGATGCGTGTTATTTAACATACACTTTTTAAAATGTATTTTTTAATCTTTTATCATTAGTTTTCCTTCATATTTTACAGTTGTTACCATGTACATAAAATCACAAAAAAGAAATTTGCAAGTATATCTCTTGCAAGTCATTTCCCTCTCTCTTTTTGATATGCAATCCTCCAGCAGACCCAGAAAGTGGCCTCGCACAACTGTTAGAACATGTGACATCACTCTGGCGGCTGTTTCTTCCAGAGGCTGCGCCTGAATATTCATGATGAGTGTATTCCCATGGCCCATTGGCTCCAGCTGTCCTGATATCAACCAACACGCATACAAACTAACTCAACCCAGACAGTTTTATTTTTTATTTTTATTTTACAAATGCACACTCAAACCACTGCCTGAACTTGATCTGTATCATTTAAAAATGTGTTTTTTTGTTGCCAAAATTAGTTTTATGATTTAGAACAATTATTTATGTTTTAATAAATAATGTATTTTTTTAGGGCTGTCAGTTAAACGCGTTATTAATGGCGTTAACACAAACCCATTTTAACAGCATCAATTTTTTTATCGTGCGATTAACTTCTTTTGGGCCAAGCAAACTTAGTAGTTTTCTTTCACTTGCTTTTGCAACAGGACGCGGTATGCGCACGCTGCGTTATGAAACCCATTCGTTTCAATGGCTTGTGCCTTGTGAGGACGTTTTGTTGCTTCGCTGACCAAAGCGCAAGCGGATCTAGCTACACCGGAAACAAAACAGGCACGTCGCACACACTCGTTTGGGCTTGCGAGCCGGACAAATAGTTGGTTAACGTTTCGTTTTGAGCGGATGATGAGCGCGAGACGCCGAAATGGATGGCAATAAGATTCTGAATGGAAAGTTTACTTATAAAAAGTTGACAAATGGTTCAATTGACTAGACCAAAGTGATCTGTGTGTTTTGTCGTTGTGAACTGAGCTATCATCATTGCAGCACGTCCAGTCTGAAATACCGCTTGATGATGGCCAAGCACACACACACACATACAGCTGATGCGAATTCCCCGCCCCCTCGTCAATATCAGGATCTCGTCAGTATTTCTTTCACCCTTTTATTGATGGACAGTTACATTGTGTGAGATTATTTGCTCCAAGTGAGAATTGTTTATTGTGAATTTGAACACGGTATGCCAATAATAATTAAAAACATTTGCACAAAGGAAGCCGATCCACTTTTCCGTGTTGATAAGAGCATTAAAATGAGAAAAAAATAATGGGACAAAAAGAAATCAAGAGACATTTAGAAAAGATAAAAATGTGCGCTTAATCGCGAGTTAACTATGACATTAATGCGATTAATCGCGATTAAATATTTTAATCGTTTGACGGCACTAACTTTTTAATTTTTTACTTTTAGCAATCTTTAGATTTAACAAGCTTTTGTGTAAGGTTTTGCCTTGTAGAAAGAAAAGATTACCACAATATTGGTGTTCCAAATGTTTTTAAAAAAAACCTTTACCCGTTAATGTCCCCTTCTTGATGGTGGGGTCTTCTAAAGTCTTGCTTCTGAAGGTGGTCTCCGCAATACTCTGCATCATGATTCATGCATGTCCTTCCATACCCACTCTGCCCTCTGCCGGGTCACTCGGTGTGTAGATAAGAGGCAGCGAGGGCTTGCAGGAGGCCATAGCTGTAACCTGCTTACGAGTGATTTTGCCAGGCTGACAGATGGTGCTGGAGCCGTAGTCAGATGTGCCACATCCTTCACAGGTTCCCTGGCCCTGTCATAACTCCTCCAGCAATACACTTGGCCTCTTTTGCCTGCCCGCATACATGCCTGCTCTCACCGGGGACAGATTCAGTGCCAGCTGGGACTAGGACTCATTTCAATGTCCTCCTCGCTTTGATTTACAATATTAGTAGATCATTGGAAGTAATTAAAGTCCCTTTTAAGACAAGTCAGGTTGCTCAAGCCATATTCAACCCAATTCACGTTTATTTGGAAGGCGCTTTTCACAATACATACCGTTTCAAAGGAGCTGGACGAAAATGCATGTTTCTACTTTACAGTTTAGTGGAATCAGAGTTGACTTGTGTCAAATGTCCATATGCTGGAAATATACAGTTCTAAGATAATACAAATCATGCAATTAGCTAACATCAATCGTGTTCATTTAGGTAGAAACAATGAGCTTATTAAAATTTGTGATCACAATGTTTACAATATATAGTTTAAATTTGTCAGTTTTACATGTAGATTCAGAGTTGGCACCTTCTGAAGTCCTCACAGGAGATGGTGTTGTCTCTTCACAGGTGTTGGGTCATCTGAAATCTGTGTAAGAAGTTGGAAAAGCAAATGGAAAATAATAACCATAGCTGCTCTTCATAAAATTCAAAGCAATAGATACTTGTGCATTTGATCTGATGTAACTGAAGTGCAAGGTTTTGAGATGTATTGTGTGAATGCTTGGCTAAAGAGATGTTTTTAACTGGGAGAGTTTATTAGGAAGGCTTTTCCAGAGTTTCAGAGCCAAATTTGATTAGATGATTTATAGTAACCATTTTGGAGTAACTAGCTTGTTTAATTAGGATGCAGGACAGCCACTTCCAGTCTAGAGGTCTTTTCTGCATTAGAAACAGAAAGCATGTTCCGTAGCTTGGCAATGTTTCTGAGGTGGGAGAAGGCAGTTTTTGTAACATCAATTTAATGAAAAAGATTAGATTGGCAGTTCTTTATATTCGCATGTCGAATATTGTTGGTCAACATTACGATCAAAATCAGGAATATGATTTGAAGTTTTAAATTGTGCAACAAAACTGCGTTTTTAAGGCTGGATGGCATGCAAATGTGCATTTAGGAGATAAACAGGCAGTTGATTGGCTCTTTTAATTGTAAGACGGACTATAGACACTATGTATAGATTTACTAACTGCTTCCGCCAGCACAAACCCTCTTTTAGGATCAAAAAACTGTCAGGACTAATTTGAAAAATTAGTGGGAAATGGTGTGGACAGGGTTATTTTTTCAGCTGAACTTATTGCAATTGCATTTGTAGGAGTTTCACTTTTAGACATTTGAGAATATTTCAATTAATCGTGAAAGGTGATTTTCTAAGGTTTGAGCTTGTCAATTTATTGGTGTTTGCACCATTATTTACTGCCAGTCTTAAACCAGACATTAACTGCTAGATTGTGTTGGTCATTATGGAAATGACCCGGCTCTGTCTGTGTTGCTTGGTTTGTGCGTCGTCAGTAGATCACTTATAGTTTTTTATAAAGGATACATTGAATGTATGATTCAATTACTCACTCATAAATGTTTCATTACTGGATGAATCAACGTTTTTGAACCAATCTCTTGAATGAATGATTCAATGACAAACACATTTTTTAACAGTCACTTATCGCCATCTACTGGTGTAATAATGTAACGATACAATCGTTATTTTAAGCACCCAGTTGTGATTTGCTCTATTTTTGCTCTATATCTGAAGTGTAAAAGTCCTAGCACTTCTGTGATAATCTGAATATTTGCAAAAGAAATAACCATACTGTGGTGTTGAAAAGATTGTTTGTGAAACTGTTTCGTACCTATACATGACAACTGCTCAACATCACTGTCATTTAGGAATAAGATCGCATCAGTGTTTGAATCGAGATTGTGATCTTTTAACGATTAATCGTGAGCTTGGTTCATAATCCACCGATAGCTGGAGTAACTTTGGTGAGAGTTGGGATGAACCAGAGGGAGGAGGAGGTTTGCTAAAATAGGACCCGAGCCATGTGCTTTTCATTAAGTTGTGCGGAAATAAGTGCTGACCCACTCCTTCGAGAGGGCACATCCATTTAATGCTGCAATGAAGAAAATTAGATACGGAGAGGGCTCAGGTAGCAGACAGAGCAAGAGATGGACCGTGTGTGTGAACAGGAACGGACGGGTGCAATCAAACACACACGCTGTGCTTCAGCTTTATTGAAAGTGAAGCTGAAAACTAAACACTTCCTTCGGCATTCCTCTCTAATTTGTCTAACGTCTGTGTGGTCTGCCTCGCCCGTCACCTTCGCTCCCTTGAGTTTGATCCTCATGTTTTTACATCGTCACACTTTCGCTCCTGCCGTATACAGCGTAGCTCAAGTTACGAGCTTGTTGTGTTGTGTGCCATAAATCATCTCTCATGGGCTGGTGAAGTAAATTATGTTTACCCTCTGTCCCAATTCTCCACCTGTATCCTTCATCCCCAGTTTAAGTCTGTAGGTTTGTACCCCTGCCATGTTCATCCTTCCTCCTGCTATGGCAAGACATTCATTTACCTGCCCACCCACCATTGCTCTTCAGGAGGCTTCAAAGGAACCCGTTTACATGAAGACTCGTTTACTTGTATGTTCTGCTCTCACTAAAATATCATAGTCCAACATTTACAGTAAGGAGTTGCTTTTCCATATACAGAACATGTAGGGTGTGTTTATTATAGAAATGAAAGGAGCCGTAGGGTGTGTTTATTATAGAAATAAAAGGAGCCAAGAGAAAGGCAGCATATATGATGTGTTTGAGCATTATACTGGAATTCCTCCTTACATGTGAGCACATCTGTTCTCAGATCATAGTGCTTCTGCGTTCAAAGATGTTGCTGGGAGTTTTATCCATGGGATTTATTCCGGAAGCCATGCAATCCTGTCTTGAACTAAGAGAACTAGAAAGAGCCCTGTGCAGAGAAAAAGAGCAAGTTCATATTGCAAAGTTTGTCATTGCTGTAGTTTAGTATTGACATTTAATAAATAGAAAGGCTTGCATTTTTTGCATATCAATATTGATGTGTTTTATAGATTATATCGAGCATAAAAAGTCCAATAGATTTGCTCTATTTTAGTGCAATTGCCGTCATTGACCATTAGAGGGAGACATTACTCTAAAACAGAAGTCAAAGTCTTACAACCACATTAATGGTTCCAGTAATGTTTTGGGTGGAATAGAGTAACACACGTGGATGTTTTTTTTTTTTTTTTGTTTTATACTATAATAGTTATATAAATTTAAGATATTTTATATATATATATATATATATATATATATATATATATATATATATATATACATACACACACACACACACAATATTGTTTAAAATATGTGTCATAATGAAGCATTTTAATTCAAATATCAAAGTCTTAATGATAAATTAATATATATATATATATATATATATATATATATATATGTGTCTATGTATATATGTGTATGTATATATGTGTTGTGTGTGTGTGTGTGACCCACCCTTGTTTGAAAAGCATCCGTATTCCTTTTTTGCCCCTTCCCTTCTATCACCGTATTAATACATTACAGTATGAACCACACATATCAAACAGAAATAAATCCCTCTCCTCCAGTAAATAGAGATAGACAGATCCACATGGCAAATGAAGACATAACACACATAGCTGCGAAAAGCGGATTTCACGTGTTCTCTCTTTTTCAGTGGGATGTTGCCAGTGTGGGTTTGATAGAAGCACATGTTGTGGGGAGATAGTGAAGCCACAACAAAGGCGGCCCTGAGTGGAGGCAAGCAACGGTGGTTCCCTTGGCAGGGCCGGGACCCTCTTCATCCCTGGCACTGTCGGCATGAGTTAGTCACACCACAGGAGAGGGGCCCCGAATGGCCTGTCTGTCGCAGATGGGCACAATGGGCCTGGCACTGCCTCATACCTCTGATCGCAGACATAAAAGCCTAATGATTGCGCATCAGCTACGATACTCTAAAAATCATTGACTGCGGAGTGCGTCATCGAAATGATGGATGACACCTCGCTGATGCTCTGCAGCTTAAGCTGATTGGCAAGTTGAAAGTTAGACCATTCTCACGTCACTTTTGTTACTAACGTAATGCTTGCTTTTGGTTGGTTGATGAACATTTTAAGGTGTGCAGTTATTTTCCAATAAACGCACCGCTAAAAGGTCTGTCGACCACGTTATGGTTCCATATCACTTGGCCAAATAATTTCAAGGGTCCTTACTGCCGACAACAGCAAATGAACAAAATTCCACAAACACACCGACCAAGTAAACAAATTTACACACAGTTGAAAAAAAACACAGTTGATTGTTTTTATTCCAATCCAAATAAATCTTTTATTATCTATGGAAAGCACAGTTTTTTTTTTCCCTCCCGCTCTCTCTCTACATAGAAACCTCTTTTTTTTTTCTCGATATTATTTTTATGAAATAGTTCTCAACTGTGAAAACTTTGTGTTGTGGCCACATTACCACCTTGGGTGTGCATTAATTTTCAATGATTCAAAAGTCCGTCATCAATTATTCCATTATATGTCCACTTTTGCTGCTTTGTTGGACTGATATAAGAAAGACATGACATTTTTGAAGCGAGATTGGTGAACTGGTGTAATTTGCATCTACTCTTCGTAGGGTTGGGTATCGAGAATCGAGTATCGATTGGAACCGAGACTAACTTTTAGTTTTTCCCGGAATCGTTCAAAAGTAAAAATTTTGATTCCTAGTTTCGATATTCACAGTCCGCCGAGCGGAAGAAGAAACCGCTGAACAACACCAACGAAGAAGCGTCTACCGGAAGTGTTGGCATAACCACGCGAGTTGAACATGAGTACCTTACGTCGGCGATCCAAAGTGTGGCTTCACTTTTCTAAAAATAACGAAATCTCGGCAAAATGCAAAATTTGTGACAAAAGGAGTATTTTTACAGAAGGAGTATTTCCTTCAGAAAGGATTATTTCCTTCAGAAAGGCCGTTGGTTAGCAAGGTTAGCTAAACTTTTTTGACCCTGCCTCTTAAAAGAATCGGAATCGAGAATCGTTAGGAACCGGAATCGAAACAAGGAATCGGAATCAGAATCGTTCAAATTCAAACGATACCCAACCCTAACTCTTCGTCGCTATAGTGATCAATAGATTTTGATTTTACTGAAGGATTTACAATGGCGTAATAAGGGAATTCGCTTAGGATCGTACTTAAAGTCTGCATGCGGCGAGCAGAGCGTGTGTGATTTCCAACACTTTAAAAAAAAGAAGTTGTGGCATTATATTTTTAAGTACAATAAACTTGCATGTGTAAGTCATTTCAACTCAAATTACATTAAACTGACTTAAAAAAACGAGTTGAATCTTATAAACTTATTTTTATGAGTTAAAGCAATGTAAAAACGTACGTTGTCATACATTATTGATCATATTTTTTTACAGTGAACATTATTGATTTATTAAGTTAATTTATAAAAGTATTCCCTTATTCTATTTTTTTTTTTTACTTAAAACCGGCATGAAACAGAATTTGTGATAGTGTTTTCTTCCCTAGTGTGACGAATATCCGAGTGGAACAAGACAAAATGTAGGGCGGACTTAATTTCGTCCATCGGGAATCAATTGGATTCTTGTGGTTTGCTATTGGTGGATCTCATGTGAGTGACAGGTTGTCCTGCCCTCGCGCAAGAGGGAATGGAAGTTATTTGATTAAAGATTATGAGGGCATATGAATAAAACAATAATAATAATAATGATGTGCATGGATAAATATTTTATTATAAATACCATAATATTCCAGAATATTCTCTTTTTATTTCAAGGTGAACAAGAATTTTACATGCTTCAACTTAAATAATGCATTCAACTTATATATTTTGTTATATTTAATATTACAATGAGAATGGTGGTAATTAATGGTTCCCATGGTCACAGAAACCTAAAAGTCACAGAATTTTAAAGTTCTTTCAAGCCTAGAAAAATAATGCAAATAAACGGAACATTTCAAAATTATAGGACACATCACATAATGCATTTTCTTATTATGCCAGCTCAAACAAACTCAAATAAGCACACAATATAGTTTTATCTTGTAGAGCGATATGAAGGGGAAAGACAGGAAATGATTGAAGAGAGAGAACAGTTTTGGAATGGCATGATTCTTGTCTACATACTGTCACTGTAGTGATCAACAGTCGGCTTGTATCGAAGGATTTTCAGTGGTGTAATAAGGGAATTCTCTTGGGATTGTCCTTGTAGTTAATTTTCATCTCCGTCACCTGTCGGTTCCTGCACGCTGAGAGCCGAGCGTGTGTATGTTGGGAGAGGGAGTTGTTTCCATATCCAGCTGTGTGCTCCGAGCTGCACATCCTTCCCTCTTCGCCCCCCCCAACCAAGAACAGCTGTCAGGTGTCTCGTAGTGTTTTTTAAAGTGTTTAGGGTTGCCTTGCACATCTGTTTGTCAGTGTATGTGCGGCTGTTTGTGTTCTCGATGCCTCTGCATTCTCACCGTGACTCTCTCCATTGATGTTGGCGTCCTTTATGCGGCCGTATCTGTGCTGAATGAACGCACGTATGCGGTGAACAGTGAGCATGCGGTCTGGTGTGCTCCTGGCGGTCTGTGCTGCGATCAAACAGAAGGAATGAGGGGGAGGGTGAAAACGTGTTATATATACCCAGCATATGCCTGGCTATTTCAACAGCTTGCATATGCACCGTACTTGCCTGGAGGCTTGTTTTTAAGAAAGACTCTCAGTGAGTTCTGGACGTTGCTGGACGTGTGGCATGATTTCTTAGAACTGATTTTTTATGGAATTCCCACATATTTGGTTTAAGGTTGCACTGATTTTGCTGATGTATATTTTGGTATGCCTGATAATTAATATAATTGCCAATATTATTAACATTCTGTTTTGTTTATTTATTTATTTTAAATGACGCATTTGTTGAGAATTTTGCATGCCTCAATTTTGATAATTAAAATACATTTAATTGTACATCAAAATAATGGAAAATGCAGGATTCCCACGGTTCTAGAAACCTGGAAATTTCTCAGAAAATAAAATTTAAGGCCTGAAAAAAGAATATAAATGATTCATCACAAAAATGTATAATTTTGGTATTTGAACATTGAACTATTAAATGTACCTGTCAAAATGGTGGATAGCTCACGGTTCCCTCGTTCATGGAAAACTGGAAAAATCGTAGTTTTGAAATAATGATTTCCAAGCCTGGATTTAAAAAAAAGTTAGTAATGTAAAGTCATTGAATGCTTTATACAAAGCATGATTTATGCACAGCTCTCAAATATTTAATCAGCCAATCTTTTTCTTTCTTTCTTTTTTTATCCAGTAATGATAACGACCTGGAAAAGTCTTATGTGTTATTAATGTTAAGTATAATTTTTTTCTATTATTACTTAACTCTTAAAAATATACACTGTAAAAATGAAAATTATTTATCTAATCAAAAAAAAATTGGCAACAGATTACAAGCAATATTATTAATTAAATTTAACAAATTAGAATTGAGTAATAATTAATCAAATTAATTCCTTAAAAGTTAACCATTTAAAATAAAAAAAAACTTACAACAACCAAAAAAATATAAACCGAAGTCACCATTATGGTGATCGGTGTTTGTTTTAAAATGACGGGTTTCTCCTTCAGTGATTCTGCTTGTTAACATCAGGTGTCTTCAATGTTGGCAATATAAAATAAAGAACTCTCAATTAATCTTTGTTAGTGAGATATTTTTGTAAAAAAATTTGGTGTAAATTTAACTCCTTTTAAATGGTTAACTTTTAAGGAATAATTTGATTAATTATTGCTCAATTCTAATTTGTTCAATTTAATTAATAATATTGATTGTAATCTGTTGCCACATTTCTATTGATTAGATAAAGCATATTAGTTTTTACAGTGTAAACTACCATTCAAAAGTTGTCAAGAAGTCTCTTTTGCTGCATTTACTTGATCAAAAATACAGTAAAACAATAATATTGTTAAATATTGTTACAATTTAAAATAATAGTTTTCTATTTTATTACATTTTTAAATGTAGTTTATACCCGTGATTCAAAGCTGAATTTCTTCAGTGTCACATGATCCTTCAGAAAGCATTCTGATGCTGATTTGCTGCATAAAAAAATAACCATCTCTTATTATTGTTATCAGTGTTGAAAACAGTTGTGCTGCTTAATATTTTAGTGGAAACCGTGATACTATTTTTTAGGATTCTTTGATGAATAGAAAGTTCAAAAGAACGGCATTTATTTAAAATAAATATTTTTGTAACAGTAGAGATGTCTTTACTGCCAATGTTGATCAATTTAAAGTGCCCTTGCTGAATAATATTATTCATATCTTTCAAAAATCCAATACTGACCCTAAACTTGAATAACATTATTCATATCTTTTAAAAATCCAATACTGACCCTAAACTTTTTAATTTCATCTGGAAGAAATTGTGCTTTTTGAGTGCATTCTATATATATTCTCTAAAAATCCGGATGCAGAAACTTTTGTATATTCAGTAGTCAAGACAATTAATCAAACTGGACCCTTTTGGTATCAGCCTAACTAAAGGCCCAAAATAATAATTAAACAATATATCTTGCTTCCCTTTTTTTTTTAATTATTAATAAAAAAATCAGCACTTTAGTGTTTTAGTTTCTTACATGACGTCACATCATCCCTGTGTGGTTTTTAAAGAAGACGATTGTAACACACACAGTCATCAAGATACTCTACATGGCTCCTCTTGTGTGTGTGTGTGTTTGTTTCCTGTCTTCTCACACCATCGTAAGGCCCATCTGTCTCCTTTCACTCCTCTTTATTCTCACAACTCGTCCTATCAAGGCCTCTGTCTGCAGCGCACCGCACTCATTAGAACTGTCGTAAGCACCACTCTTCATTAATCTACGCCCAATCGCTCTTTAAACACCACATCAGTCCTGTTGTTCACAGTATTTGTGGCGCTTGGAGGAAACAGTTTTATTTATTGAACAAAACACAGTGAATGCGAGTCGAGTCATGCCTGTTAGGTTGTGAATGAGGAGAGAGCGCTGTGCAGGCCTGACTCACAGATCGCGTGTGTGTATGAGAGCGAGAGAGGGGTTTACTGTGGGCCAATCCTGGCCATATTCCAGCGCTGGCATCTCAGTGGCAGCAGGTGGAGCCCACTGCTTCCAAACCAGCACCAGCACTCCTCCCCCACCCAGTCTCACCCTTACCAACACAAACACATTCTCAAACCGCTGACTGAACAATGGGGATTTTTGCAGTCGTATAGTTCTAAAAAATTTTGACAACTGATTTCAATTATTATTATTATTATTTTTTACAAAAATTATATATGTAAGGAACATTCCGGTGCAATACACACTGTACTTGAAAAATTTAAGGCAGCAACTTTTTTCTTTTTACAATCAACTTGGATGTTTAAGTCATTTCAACGTAAATTACATTAAACTGATTTTAAAAATGAGTTGAATCTTAATAACTTATTTTGATGAGTTAAAGCGATGTAAAAACATTTTGTCGTAACTTATTGATCATATAATTGTTTACAAAAATGTTAAGCTCACTCGGCTGAAATTGTGGCATGCAGTGGTGTTGTTTTTGACTAAAAACAAAACTTTTTTAAGAAATTGTTTTCATTAATTGAAATAAGCCTGAAATAAAATATAAATAGTTGAACTTAAACTTCATGAAAAATAGAGAAGTATCTTCGACAACTAACTGAAATGAAATAAGTTTGAGTTGAAGTGCTAAAATTAGTAAAACTAAGAACTGAAATAAAATTAATTAAAGCTTTATAGAAATATAAAAAAATACTAATAAAAATGACAAGAGCACAGAAATTACTCAAACACTGAAATTGAAATGAAAACTGAAAGTATAAAAGTTAAAAATAATATAATAGTAAATGTTTTAAATTATGCCAACAGTGTTTTTTTTTTTTGTTTTTTGCAGAAAAATTAATGTTATAATTATCAATTCTTCTGTTGGAACTTGTGTATTATTTGAACCGTAAAGCTGTTTAAACCATAATTTTACAGTTTTGGGGTCTAAAGCATTTTTGTGGCGACGATGTTGTAAAATTAGCTTTACGCACACTGCAAAAATGATATGATCAATAAGTTATGGCAATATGTTTTACATTACTTTCACTTATCAAAAAAGCAATTTTCAACTTTAAAAAAAAATCGTTGAATCTTGTATAACAAAGTCATTTTTTAAAAATTCAGGCAGCAAATCTTTTTTTTTTTTTTTTACAGTGGTTAGTAAATGATTTTATTACACTAAAATTATGTTACCACTATATTGTTTGTGTTTTGTGCTGTACTAAAAAAACTGTAAATATTTTAACACTTACAAACTGGCCAGGTTAATTTCCATTGTATCTGCCTCGCTGTAACATATTTTTATCTTTTAAGAAATTCATTTTTGGAGGGAATCAACACTTATTTTTAGTTCACTCTAAAATATGTAAACGCTCATATTGTTAACATCTTTTGCCTTTACTATATCAAATTCAATTCCATCGTAAAATAAATTGTATGAGGTAAGACGTATAGATTAACTTGTATTTGTTTTCCGTCCCGTTTTTAAAGTCACCTGTCGTTTTGTAGACATGCAAACTGAGTGTATTAAAGCTTCAGCCTATTTTAAAGCACAATAGAGGTAGAGTAAGGGGATCCTCTGTCGTGTTTCTTGTTGTTTATTCATAAGGCCCGGCTTGGCAAAGCCCCGAAGGCAAGCTGCTATGGTGCTGGATAATGTTATTACCCTCCGGCTGCCTAATGAGAACTGTAGCCCCGGATCCAGCGACTCCACACAATCCCCTCATCCAACCCCCATTCCACAAAAATCCTGCCCCACAGTGCCGAAGCTCCAGGTGTGAGCGTGGGACTCCCGAGCCACCGAGTTTATCATTCCCAAACACCGGCCTCATTTGAGTAAACGTAAAGAGAAAAATGTGCATCTTTTTAAATACGAACGAGAAATGTTTATCATGATTTCCAGCATTTCTTTATTGCAGTGCATGTGATATTTGACAACATTCAGAAGCGGTTTAAGTTCAGCATTGATGGACAAAGCACTCTTGCTGAACTGGATGGAGGGCTCTCGGTTACAGAAGCTCAGACCGGATATCAAAAGGGCTTCTCTATAGAAAGATCACCCTCTTGTGGCTTTTAATGGAACGCAAGAAAAAAATGAGTTTGTGAATTAGTTACACATCTCCAGTTCACTCTTCACTCCAGATCATTCAGAAGGAAGCCAAATATTAGTTTGAACTGTTTAGTTTTGCTCTGCATTGGCTTTCCATTACTGAAATATAGAACACTGCAAAAAATTAGGATCAATAGGTTATGACAACATTTGCTTTAACTCATCAAATTAAGTTAAGCAATTTTCAACTTATTTTTTTATGTTGACAATATTCAACTTATATTTTATAAATCAGTTTAATGTAATTTAAGTTGAAATTCCTTTAACATTCCAGTTGATTATACAGTTTATGACTGCCACGGTCATAATGACACGGTCATTTGACTGACTGAAATGCTCTGAACATGGTTCAACAAAAACGTTGAACATATGCATTATAATTATTACTTGTATAAAATAATACAGTAGTTATATTACAATAATCTGGAATTATCATATTATTCATTTTCTACTTTTACTTATGCTTACCAAACATGTTTTCCACACAAAATATTATCTATGCACTCTTCAAATGCTCTTAAGCAAAGCTTTTGAAAATTAGGCTACTGATCCCATTGTAATTTATGAATTATAGTATATTATAAGTGTGCCTGAAAAGGTAAGGTTGACTTATGCGTGCACATACACACATTTTATAAAGGTACAAGACTATTTTGATGTTGTTTCGAGTCCTGTCAGTTCAGATCACAGCCTCTAGGTGGAGTCTCTACCTATATTTGATGCCGGATCGGATAGAATCGAGGAGGAAGACGGGCTAAAGCAATGATGAGCATTGAGTCTATTATAAATAATCATTTATACTCTAAATCACATTTATAATTATAATAACGACGATTATAATAATAATAAAATGCCTAAGGGATTTATGACAAAATATTTTGGTATTATATGCATGACGTAATATTGTGATAAATCTTCATTTTAATAATTATAATATTGGATAATTATATGACTGTTTATTTACTTAACTTGTATTGGTTTTAACGGTAGCATAATTTTATCTATCTGTATAGATTTTTTGTATAATTTTATCTATTTGAATGTTATATTATTTAGATTTATATTACATTTACCTTTACAAAAAAATCTTTTCTTTATTACTCTTTTTTTGAATGGTCACTATGGTTTCAGAGAAAGGGTATTTTTCTACACCAGATTTTTTTATATTTATATGGGTGTGTGTGTGTACCTCTCGCTATAATTTCCCTTTACTCAATTGCATTGTATGTTTTATTGTTTTGTTATATTTGAGTATGATTTGAGCTGGAACTCATCATTTTACAATTAGTTTTCAACTGACGCATGCTGCATAAAGAGTCTACGGGTGATTTCGACAAGAATATGCAAACTACAATCATTTAAATATGTCAATATTTCGAGTTGCTGCTTTAATTTATTTTCATATAAATTAAGGCACGTACTTTATGAGAAGTGCACGCGAATATACATTTGGAAATATTGACACCTTCCGATTTTTTTCGTGATGTAGCTATAGGCTGCACTTTTCTTTTAGATTATAGGGGAAATTGTCATGCACAAGTTTTAGATGTGCATACTTTACTGCTTTTGGCTAATATTAAAATGATAAACAACATTAACTCGTTGCTAGCCAAATAAATAACCTGCTGCGTTATTTAGGCTGTACTTTAAAAAAAAAAAAAAGTGCATTAGATGGCGATCTAACGCTGAGTTTTAAGCATTTTTTACCTCTGAAGACAATCGAGATGTACAGTGAAAGTTCAACGCGCACTTTTTTCCCCTCCACACACGCGCGCCCGCACACATACTCTCTCTCTCTCTCTCTCTCTCTCTCTCTCTCTCTCTCTCTCTCTCTCTCTCTCTCTCTCTCTCTCTCTCTCTCTCTCTCTCTCTCTCTCTCTCTCTCTCACACACACACACACACACACACTCTCAATTTTTCTCTCTCTCTCACACACACACACACACACATTTTATCTTGCAGACTCGTTGGGCATCGATGTGCTTTCAATCCCCTTAAAGCCCGAACGGAATAAGACTATCGCATACAGGCTATTCTCTGTTTTTTCTTCCTGTTTTAATCTCGAATAAAAAAAAAAGTAAATTGTACTCACGTCCACCACTCAAGTTGAGGAATAGCTCCATCCAAGTTGATTAGGTGCCATATACCTGTTTTGATCCCGTGACTTGAAAATGCACCATAAAACCCAAATTCTGGTTTCTTGCGAATAGTTAAATCCCCAGTTCGCTCCGTTGTCCTTTACACACTGCAGTTTTTGCCTCGTCTTTGCCACTCTGCCTCCAAAATCCTTGGCACAGTTGCCTTGGCATTCAGCTTCTCCTAGAACTTGGCAGAAAATGCTATAAAGGCGTCTCTAATGTCTGCCACAATTAAACGAGACGAATATGTGAATTTTAGAATTTTATTATAAATGTAATTATTTTATTATAAATGTTATTCGAATGCTTGGTAACATGGTAACATTCGTCTTGCCTCATAAAGGATCAATGGAAAATAAACTGTGTAGGTTTTGTAACTCATTGTTTAGACAACACAACAATTTTTGTTTTATATATATATATATATATATATATATATATATATAATACCACGATTTAAAACAGGACAATTGTCTATATAGAGTCTGAATTAAATGCCTTATTTAAACCTAATAGCCTGTTAAAAAATCTAGATTTTCGTTCAATATGAATATATAGTTTGACACAGAATGTCGTAAATTACTCTAATCTACATATATTGTCATTGAATAAAAATATATATATACTAAATTGCTTTTTTGTTTGTTAGTTTTCCTTTCACCTGACTCCTCCCGCCAACTTCGAGTTCGTCATCAGGCCTATAGGCGCTGTTCAGCCAATCAGTGCTGAAATCAATGCGTAAATCTAAATGAAATGACGTCTAAATGTAAGGCTAAAATAACTTTAAATTTAGACCTAAGCACATTTAGGCCTAGGTGGGTATTTGAAGATGCTCCACACATCAACAAATATTATGTGTTTAATAGGCTAGCCTATATTTAATTCCTGAAAACATTACAGTGAAAATCTGACTGACCTATTGGATTCATTGTTCTCTTGACGTTTCTAGGCCGTTTTGAAGTTGTAAGTTGTAAAGGCTGCGTGATTAAATACAGGTGACTGCCTTTTCGACACGCGGTTCATGTGTTAAAATGAGCGCTGTCACGCCACAACCTTTTCACTTCACAAGCGAGATGAGGAGAAACGTTCTAAAGTTCCATTTGAAACGTTCAAATTAAGATTGTTGCAACTTTAGTACAGAATGCAGTTAAAGTGCACAACTGTCTGGATATCTACCTGTCAAAATAGCGAGGAGGGAAGAATCTTCTTTTTTTTTTTTTAGGAATCATTTTTTCTTTGCATAAGTAGCTACAAAAATGAGCGTTTATGAGTGTTTAAAGGTCATTCGTTAAATTTTAAAACACATTTCTTTAAATGTTTTATCAGAGGTCTTTACGTGCTAATACATTTTATTGCAACCTCAAGTTACATTTAAGAAAACGATGTATAATATAGGCTACAGTCTATAAAATTGACAGGATTATAGTAATCACTTCCCTTTTGCTCAAGGTCAAGAGACAATACAACATGTTTGAACAGAATAAATACAGTATAATTGGTGTTATAGGCTATCTCCTATTTAAATAGTTTTTTTTAGTGTCGTAAAGTTTGAAACGACACATGTCAACGTGTTGCACAGATTGCATTCTCGTCAGGCTGTCAAGCAAACCAAAAAAAACGGAAGTCTGATATCATGAAGATAAGCGCGCGCGCTCTCTCTCTCTCGCTCTCTCTTCCCAATCGGAATTATTTGTGTTCCGCGAGGCTGTTTACCCAGATCCCGGGTGTCTGTCTAGGAGTGGTTGCTGTCACATGCGTGCGTGTGAAACTTGCCCAATAGCGACTGTACTGTGAGCTTTGAATTTCAGTGTTTTGCCCAATCACAGAGTAGCTCATGAAAACACCAGAGGGACGGACCTGCACCTGCAGCAAGTTAGTGTGACTGTGAGTTGCAAGCATAATTAATATGCAGTTTCCTATCATTTCTATCACACACAGGTCTGTGTTAATTATCACCTATTTTGCATTTGACAAAACGCACCTTGGTGTTTGTTTCACGGTGTAATGCTCATAGATCTCGATCTATGTATGCACATCATATCCTTGCTTTCTGGAATAGGCCTAAGCTATAGTGTTTTTTATTTTTTATTTTCCGAACAGATTGATATCTCGTTTAGAATACCATCCTGTATTTCTTAAACTCTTTCTGTAAATGGATCCGTTTTCTAGGGGGCGAGAGTGAGTCACATGGTTAATAATAAAACTGTTGAGTGCCAACCAAACTAATTACACGAACCAGGTTTTCTTATTAATGATGTTTGCACGTATGACACACGTGATCAGAAACATAACACTGTATTGGCAGTCGCTTTCTTGTCCATCAGTGTCCACATCGTTTTTAAATCATGAGCCTGTTTAGGTTTGATATTTTTGAAAACGTGCAGTTTCATTTTGTGTTTCCCAATGTCTCTTTGAAAAATCAAAATCCCACATATACATAGCCTATTAATTATAGGCATGCTGTTAAGGAACCTGTCAGCCGCATCAATACGTTCATGGGGCTCACAGAAGTGAAAGTTGATACTGAAAACATTGGTGCTTAAACTAGCCGTTTCAAAATATTGTAAAACAATACTCATACTGATCACGTGCAGATAGAAATACTAGCCTACTTGGGATCGAATATACATATTACGTGAGCATGAAGAAGAAGAAAAAACAGTGCTGCAGAATGTTTTTTTTTATTAATTTTTTTTATTAGCCTGCGAAATCTGATGACGTTTAGTTAATCATAAACATTGCGCGATCAGTATAGATCGATTAGTCTACTGAATGAATGAGTTCTTTTTACTTGATTAAAAACACTGAGCGCGAACAATGTATTCCGATTCCCGAACGAATGACTCTTTTGAGCCGATTCTTTTTAGTGAATCAACCACATACAGCGATTCCCAGACGTTTGACTCTTTTGAACTGATTCTTTTAGTGAGTCAAAATAATTATCAATAAGTAGGCTATGAATCTCGCGTATTAACTAAAGTTATTACCTTCGTCATGCCCGTCTCGCAATGAAGCAAGATCTGTAATTAAGGCGCGTGAGACTTCATTAATTTACGCATTAAGCATGTCGCTATAATCAGTTGTTTCTTTTTTTATTATTAGCCTAAATGTTGTTATATTTTACCTAGTGCTTTTAAAATGTATTTAATATGCAGGTATAAGCAGTTATTTGATTGCACTTAGGCTGGGCTACTGCGCTTTTTGCAAGAATTGCGTTATATTTATTGATAGGCTATGTATGTTAAATCTAAAAATGATTTTATAATTTGACGACACACTACTGAGGGCAGTCAATGCAATACGAACGTCCAATATTATGCTATTCCAAACGTGTCTTTATGTAAAGTAGCTTACTCGTTTAATAAAGCGGTAAAAATTCAGTGCCTAGAATGTTAAAACGTGCAAGTTATCACACTTTCTGCATTACAATACGTCATGTTTATGAAGTGCAGCGGCATTGGGAGTGCATATTTCTCCTGTCCCGCATGTGTATGACTCTCATGCCGATATTGAGGGCGCTGTGCTGATGGGAGAGCCCAAGAGTTTGAACGGGAGCTTCGTCTCAGCGGACTCGAATCGTGCGCGCTTCACTTTTTTCCTCCCTCTCTCTCTCTCTTTCCCTCTCTCTCTCTCTCCCTTTCTCTCTCTCTCCCTCTCTCAGGTCGAAACTAACCACGACACAAGTGGCAGCTTTTGCAACAGGGGGTTTTAAGGATATTACAATCTTCCTAAGCATGCCGAGCCCTCCTCGCTGCTCGTAAATCCGCTTCAGTTTTGCTTCGCACCGCCACATGCCTCACGGCGGATGCAAGCGCGCGGCGCGGCGCTATAAGAGACAGCGAAGAATGAACCAAACGCGACTTTTGTAACGCACCCGGACAACTTTTTCTATCTTTTTGTTTCTGTTCAAATGTCCGCAAGATGAAATAATCGCTCCTTTCGGCGGTTCATCACCACAGTTTCACTCATGGCTCTGTGAAATCTCCGTGTAGGCTACTGTACTTCCATCCATCCATCCGTCCGTCGTCGGGACTTTTCTCTTTGCTACAGTTGATGATAATGCCGAAAGTTTGGATATACGGCTTTAACAGTACAGTACAGTAGATGTGTGTAACTCGAGGCGGGGTTAAAGTTCAGCTCTATGGAGCGCTGAAGCGTCGCGCACACTTCGCAGAGTTGGAAATGTGAAAGCAAGAAGCAAGGCTTTATTTTCCCTCTCTCCCTTCTTCTCTGTCTCTCTTTTTTTCTCTTTTCATACACACATATACATACACTGCCCATACATTCACACATACACACCCTCACCTTCACACACACACATACACACACACTCACACACACACTCACACACACATACACAACATCGCCTATTCAAGAGTTAAAACCGACAGATATGTATTCTCCGCTATGCCTAACACAGGTAAGTGACATTTTCGTCTATTATTAACTCTGTTTGTTGTGTTTGAGCGGTGTCTTTGCTCGGGACAGCACGGATAGGGGCTAACCTTTGCTTAAGACAAGTTACTTAGTGTGTAGTAAGGCATTTCTGCTCTGACAGAGCCAACTGAACTACCACATGGCGTATGGCGCCCACCTCACACATTAATGTTTCTTATGCACATTTACAGTTGTATTTTATGCTAGGCGCTTTGAGACGTTGATTTTATATAGCAAGTTAAGCTTTAAATAGTGCTGTGCATGAAAGAAAACGTTCCTCTAATCCTGCAGAGTCAACGTTATGCACAGTTCATTTGGTTACACTGTTAAAAATAAAGTTATTTAACAGTTTCAGCAAAAAACAAACAAACAAAACACCTCTGTAATTAAGTTTTGTTTTTTGGGGGGGAAAAGTTTTTGATGTCACATTTGTAAGTTTTCAGACCTGTATATTGGACTTTTAAGTTCTTTAAAGCACCAGAAATGTAAATAAAATGCAAAATTAATAACTCTTTGCAGGACTTTAAAAGATTCTACTGTGACATCAGACTGTTTTTCTGTTGGGTTTTATTAAGTAACTTTATATTTTAAGAGTGTGACCATTTAAATTTAAAACAGCACACACCTTTAAAGCACATTTGAGATCAGAATAGTCATATTTAGTTCCTTTTTACTATTAAATATCAATGCAGCTATGCCATTTACAGTTTTAACTTTAGTATAAACCAGCTTTCAGCAATAATTCTGCTTTCTTATGATACTTTTTCTTCTCAAGTCATCAGATATTCTTTGATTAGATTTTTGCAAACTTCACTGTCATATATATATGTGTGTGTGTGTGTGTGTGATCTAAAAGTTTAGACTGTTTTAGCTTTGGTGCTGTCATGTCTGATAACCTAAACAGTAAGATTATGAAAGCACAGGGCTGTTTGTTTGTGGCTTTATCATACTTTTGTAATTGCCGCGGAGTAAAAACTAAAGTGGAATAAAGTTTAACAGCAACCGAGAGGGTTAAAGGGTGTTTAAAAAGAAATCCCGTCACTGTCTGAATCATGGTGGCAGGTGAACTGAGGTGACAGGTCTGGAAAAGCTGTAGTGTTTTACTGTAGACTTGATGTGATTTTAAACTGTTTGGTTAAATGCGTTTTATTGAATGCACAAAACAAAGGAGAAGGCCTCAGTATTGTGTCACGTAAAGGGCCGTTCTTTTGACCATGTTAGTTACAGTCTGTTTGGAGACACTGGAGATAATTAATGCGAAAAAAGACAAATTATGTGTAATGTGCACAAAATGACGAGCTGAGAGAGCTCAAACTTTAAGTCGTCTTTTCATAGATTTGGTAATGCAAGACTTCAGTTATAAATCCATGCAGAACAGTAGGAATGCCTTTGATAATTTGTCAATCACTATAAATGTGACACATTATCACTATCTGACACCTCACATAAAAACTCACATGTAGCTCATATATTTTATTTACTTGACTATAATATTTGTTACTTATTGAAAATAAGTGAAATGCTAAATTTAGAGGAATAATGTAGTCTTACAAAAATGTTAAAGCATTTTTTAATCTTTCTGTTAAATAAGTACTAGTAAGTTATATAACAGTGATATAATTAAATGTCTAATAATCATAGTTGTATTGAAGATAGAGATGGAGCATTGATTTCCTCTCTGTTACGGTGTTAAGACAGTATGATGTCCACTTTCTCTCTCTCTCTCTCTCTCTGTGTGTGTGTGTGTCGTCTTTAATCGTACTCTGAGTGCCAAAAATTCATGTCTTTATTTAGCTTTCATTTCATAGTAAAATCCATCAAATCAAAACACATTTTTCAACTCCTACCTATATTTTAGTTGATGCAGAAATATACTTTTATCTCTTGCGTTAGTTATTAAATACCTTTCAATGAATTAGCATCACGTTTGTGTGTTTTTTCACGTGTGCATTCACATCGTCTGTTTGTTTTTCGTACTATTTTTACATGCGTTAACACTCTTGTCTCTTTTGGCCACGAGGCACTATTGTTCCCTGCTCTGAGGCCTTACTATAGGACAGCGAGGTTCAGCTTGAAACACTTTAGGAGTCTTGAAAACCCTGACAGGCTAACCAGACCCTATACTGACACTCAAGCACGCTCCTTAACGCAAAGAGATGTTTGTTTTGCCACTATGAGCAAGTCTCTTCCTACAATTCAGTTTTTGCAAATTGCTAGAATTATAACAAGAAGAAAACACTCTCATAATGATCTCAAACATGAATAATTTGCTTGTTAAATTACGTTCTGTTGTGTATCAATCACCACATAATTCGAGCAATCGTTCCTTTTATTTAGAAATGTTGCTAGAGAACCGCAGAAAGTTAAGTTAACCATGTTTTTACTGTAGAGAGTTGATTCTTGTCTGGAGATTTTCCATATTGATTTTTTTTGTCAGAGTGTAGACAAGTCTGCAACAGATCTTTTTTTTTATATATATAAAAACACATAATATGTATAAAAAGCAAGCCACAACCATAGATGGTATCACTAACAGTTATTAATCAATCACAGACTTTGGATTAAGTTACTTGGAGAGTCAGTTGAAGGCAGATAAGGAAATTCATTCACTGGTTTAAATGCAGGATGAAACAATACAGTTTTTATGCCTCGGAGGCAAGGGAGTTTGATTCTTAAACAAGACAGGAAGGAAACAATATGATTAAACATATACATTTGCTTTGGTGTCTCGCAAGAGACACACAGACATTGTTCCGTACACTATAATAATGATATATGCTTATGCAAATCCTTGATTTCCTGTGGTGTAACAAAAGAGATATGGCAATATGTATCTACATGGAGTCTGTTGTTGAGTCTACGACTAACATGCAGTAATCTTACACAAACAAAGCCATATTTATTTTAATCTGCAGCTTAATACACATCCAAAATTATTATTATTATTTATTTATTTTTGCTTGATGGTATATAGTGATTATTTTTAATTACGATACAAACATTAGCAGCAGTGCTTGAAATTGGCCCGAGAAATGAATTTAATTAACATTCCTAAATTACTCCGAATTAATTGTTAAATTTCTAAAGGCACTGGTCCGAGGCCCAGCGCGTTATATTCATATCTGTGCTTATTCAAATGAAATCTGCGCTCAGCACATAGTGCACTTTGCTTGCTTGCTGGCAGCCCTCTCGTACTCGCACGGTCGGTTTTGGGACACGATGCAGGGCTATTGCTGTTTGTGGAAATGTTATTCTAGTGATTGGCAGTCTGCCATTATTCTCTCTATGTAATAAAAACCCTGAGTTATTTTCTGTGTAAAATCCCAAATTATTTCATATTAGAAACCGCACGTTATTTATTTGCCCAGTTATTTGTGTTTATTTGTTGTTGTTTTTTTTTTCTTTAGGCAATAGAGAAGTGGTCATGCAAGCTTACAGATAAAGAAATGCACATACAGTATGGGCTTTTTATCATTTTGATAATTGCTCAGTCGAGCATATATATAGTTGATTTAATAATATTTCCTTAAGTTTACAGTTATTGCATTATGCAGCTTTTCTAAATAACTTAATTTCAGCTGATATAGCCTAGCAATATCCTGTAAATATTAAAATATACATCCCTTTGTAGATAAAAAAAAAAAAAAAAATCCCTGCATGATTATATCCTCCGCTAGATTTTGAGTGCGTACAAAAGAGATGCGTTAATGTTGCAGACGATATTTTTCTGGTCTTTTTGGCATTTTATTCTAAAAATTGATTTTCTGCCAGGTTGTGCACCAACGGCAGGTGTTGGGATCCCAAAACCCGGCACAATCTGCCCCGCACACACTCCTGTGTGAAAACAACACACTCCTCGCTGATAACGTATGAAGTAGCGCGGTTTTGGAATCGTGTGTTCATTTTTGCGGAGAATAGATAAAAATAGCCACTCCAATTTTCCTGGTCGGTTGTTGCTTTTTCTCGGCCCTGGCAGACCCCTAAAGACCAGCATTCTTGCCAGAGAGCCAAGATATGTCCTAGACGAGCTACACACACACACACTGACTGCCCTGCTTGGTTCACAGAAACACTCCTGCTGTTGAGGGCCGTTTTTCAAAATAATCAAATGGGATTTTATGTAGATGCACGTGTTTAGCTTTCATGGTGTCTGCTGTGAAAAATCTGTCGTTGTTTTTGTACTTAACCTGTTTTTTTACAGTTTCTTATTAGAAAAAAAAATGTGACAACTTTTAGTTTACATTTTTATTTTGAAGTGTATATTTTTAAATACATTTTTCAGGATTTTCTGAAACCTGAACTGTGTTTTATAGCATCCATGCGGGCTAATTTCTGCTTCCTTGTCCTTTTTCGCAGGATGAATTCCATCCTTTCATTGAAGCACTGCTGCCCCATGTGAGAGCGTTTTCCTACACTTGGTTCAACTTGCAGGCCCGCAAGAGAAAATACTTCAAGAAGCACGAGAAGCGCATGTCTAAGGAAGAGGAGCGAGCCGTGAAGGACGAGCTGCTCAGCGAGAAGCCGGAGGTCAAGCAGAAGTGGGCATCGCGGCTGCTGGCCAAACTCCGCAAGGACATCCGGCCGGAGTTCCGCGAGGATTTTGTGCTCACTGTCACTGGGAAGAAGCCCCCTTGCTGTGTGCTCTCAAACCCTGACCAGAAGGGCAAGATGAGGAGAATTGACTGCCTGCGTCAGGCGGACAAAGTGTGGCGCTTGGACCTGGTCATGGTGATTTTATTCAAAGGTATTCCGCTTGAAAGTACTGATGGCGAAAGGCTGGTTAAGTCTCCGCAGTGCTCGAACCCAGGGTTGTGCGTGCAGCCGCATCACATAGGAGTTTCCGTAAAGGAGCTCGACCTGTACTTGGCCTACTTCGTGCATGCAGGTAAGTCCCGTTTTGAATTCACTAAATCTGTTGAATGTGTAAAGATGCGAACGGCACCCATGTGAGCGCCAAAATGTACGTCGCAAATTATGGATTGTACTTTTTTATTTCATTAAATTTTTATGGTATTATAAGTGCGGCCTAAGCAACTCAAAACTGAATGCTCTGCTTCCAATCTGCCACATTTTTCTCAATGAAATAAAACACGCAAATTGAGAAAAAATGTTAAGGGATACTCCACTTTTTGTGGAAATAGGCTCATTTTACCACTCCCCCAGTTGAGTTTTACCGTTTTCGAATCCATTCAGCCGATTTTCTGATATTTAGAAGAATATCAGTAACCAGACAGTTTCTGGTCTCATTGACTTCCGACTTCCATAGTAGGAAAAAAATATACTATGGAAGTCAATGAGACCAGAAACTGTCTGGTTACTGATATTCTTCTAAATATCAGAAAATCGGCTGAATAGATTCGAAAACAGGGAACACTTATTTTCAAAAAAAAAAGTGGAGTATCCCTTTAATACTCAATTCTTTTGAGAGTGAATTTTCTGTTTATGTCAAAAGTGTAATGAGTTAAAACTCCTGTGGAAAAGTCCGGTGCAAATGCTTGATTGAGCGACTGGTAATTGGCAGAAGGCGGCAGGGGATCCATCCTGCATTGACAGCAGCACAAACACAAGCTTTCTTTTGGAAGACAAGCAGCGCACTTTGTTTCGCCAGGCAAACTGAGCACCTTAATTACATTCATTTCCTCTCGCGCGCAAATCGTGGCAGTGAAGTCTGAGAGTTGGCAGCGTGCGCATCCGCCGCTCCTCGCGTTCCGTACGGACTCGACTTGCGCTTTGATGAGGTGCCGATAAAAAGAGTGAAAACGCCGTGTAACCCGAAGACGGCGGAGATAAAGCCGTAAAACGTGAGCTTTAGCGCTTCGTAGGAAAACCGTGGTATCTGGCAGACGGCAGGTTGCAAAACGGGAGCGTGTGAATCACTTTGACTTGGTGAGAACACAAAGGCCCCGAGCCTTTGAGCTTTTTGTGAGGATAAGTACGACACAGTCACAGAAACGCGTTTCCCAGCGGCCCGCCGAAATCCTCAGTTTTGATGTTCTGAAAGCCTATTCAGCAGGGAGCGTCCTGCTAACATCCTAATCTGCGAAGTTAGGTTTTCTTTTTGATTCGATGGTGAATAAGAGACGTCAGCGAGAGAACAAGAGGAAGAAAGACGTGGGAGTCTCTCTCTCCTCATCTCTGACCTGCACACAGGCCGATCAGGTTTCCTCCTCTGTCTTATTTAAAGCAGTGGAGCATTGCTGGAGCCCCCTTGATTAAAAGCCATCTGAAGAGAGCCTGACCTCATACACAGATGGTGAAAGTGGGGCTTCTGAGAGGAGCTAAAGTCAGTAATTAAATTTATCCCTCAGTCTTGCCAGGGCAAAGGGGTGCAGGCCAGCAAACACACCCACTTCATCAAGACAATAACACAGCTACCTATCAATATCAGCAGACATTGCTGGAAAAGAACATTTAAATTCAGTCTAAGTAACCAGAAAACTCAACTAAACTAGCAGAACAAATGACTAGTTTTCTTAATGTTTGCTGTAATTTTTTTCTATCATTATAGAGTGGTGTAGGTATGACGTCAGAACCCGGAAGTCTAATTCGCTGCTGGTTCCTTCAAGATTTTCCTATGGGGGTTTTATAATGTTTTTTTTTTTTTTTTTAAATAACTTGACGATAGTTTGACGTTACACTCACACTGCAAATTGTCTTATCTAGTGACTTATTAAAAAATGTAAGTTTTCAAAAATGAACAAAACTGCTTCAAAATTAAAGTTTTCGCTATGGGTATGTGTAATTTACGTTGTTGAACAAAACATCAGAGTATTGGTAAGTTATGTTTACCACAGGCTTTATTTTACACACAAATCGAAAAACCCATAGGAAAGTCATACCTGCACCACTCTATAAGTAAGTTTAAATTTGTACTTTTCAGTTCTTTCAAAGTTTCTTCAACATCCCCACCATTGTTCAATATTTTTCAATAATTGCTCTATAATATGTAAGTATTTCCCAATTTTTTCAATATTTTTAGTAGTTTAAAAAAAAAGCAATTTTTTTTTAGTTTTTCTATATGTAATTTTAAAGGGTTAGTTCACCCCAAAATTTAAATTCTATCATTATTACTTTTATGCCCATCACTTTTGTTAATCTTAGGAACACAAATGAAGATATTTTTGATTGAATCTGAGAGCTTTCAGTCCCTCCGTTGACAGCTACGCAACTGACAATTTTACGCTTCAAAAAGTTCATAAAGAGATTTTAAAACTAGTTATTATGAATTGAGGTGTTTAGTCCAGATTTTCTGTACAGACTTAATCGCTTTATATGATGATTGAATTTAGGCTTATATTTTTCAATTCTATCAATATTGGTCATTATTTTTCCACTAATGATAAATGTTTGTTTTATTAATGTTCAAATGTATTCTCATAAAATGTACAGTAAGTTTGAGTTTGTTTTTCTGATTTTTTTTTTTTTTTTGCAATATTTTATTATTTTGGAAATATATCCCTTAGGGTATGTGTTTGAAAAACACTTTCTAATTTCAATAGTCGTGGGGTTTATTGTTTTAGTCAGATCTCATTCCTCGAAGTAACATGAGAACTAGAAAAAGACAGAAATATGTGTTCACTGAGGCCTGAGGACATGCAACCATGGCTAATTTACGGCAGGAGCACTCCACACGTGGGCGAGGTCACGGCTTAAGATGTTAGGGTCGTGACCCCATCTTCAAGGCATTTGACCCCCAAGATAAACATCCACTCCCATTAGCAGCCAGTCAAGCGGAGGGCAAGCTTTGGTTTTGGGTTGCCCTCTTGACCTCCTGTTAAAACAGGTGGTTTTGTTTGGGCCACAGAGTGGTGTGCCATTTAAACCAGCCGAAAGGGGCTAATAGCCGTGGAGACCCAGACTAGCATTACACCAGTCATTGTTTCCTTTTAGCATTGGTTTATTAGAAGAACATAGATATCAAGCAGTTTGTTTTTATTATTGGTTTGCAAAATTGTAGAAGCCTCTGATCTTAGGCATTTTACATTCAGATCTCCGACCTATGTTATTTATTTATTAAGTATAAGTTCATAATTCTTTCCTCACAAGATTTTTTTTTTTGGCATTTTAATGTACAAGTTAACTTTTAAATTAGTTTTGAATATTTTAAGTAAAACAGAAACAAACTTCTAGATGTGAGATTAAGATTCAGTTTCCGGTTTAAGTCTAAATTATTACTCTCGTCGAGGAAAAAAAAGGCTATTGTGTTGTCAGATAATTAAATTGATGCATTAGTAAGTGCTTATTTTGATGAAAAAGTCAATTAGAGTTCTTTGTGATAATATGTCACTTGTTGTGAACTGTAGTTGTGTCTCATTGCTGTGTTTTCAGTCTCACTACACAATGGAAGGATACCGCTGGAGCAGATAGATAACAAACGCGAGACCAGGCCCATGTGTACATTTCCAGCCAGGCTGATAGATATTTATACTGGACTCACCTTAATTGACCCAGAGCCACGTCGAACAAACCGTTTGCGCGCGTAATGTTTGTAAAGACGTCTGACCCACTTCCATGTGAGCTCTTAAACAGATTTACTGTACAGTGTGTCTTTCAAAACTAGTTAGCTCTGATGACGCATGCTCGAGGCACCCTGTCATAGGTTTTGCAAATTCGTATTAGGTTCTGGGAAGTTGCTGAAAGTTTTTGCAAGGGCCGAGGCAAAGCTGGTCAAGGGCTACAGTAAGCCGGTGGTTCGTTGAATTTTTTATTTTATTTTTTATGCCAGTAACCGAATCCGTTGATATCTTCAGGCTGACTTTTGGCACATCTTGTGTTACAGCCGTTTTATATTTCTCTTCCTTTCCACAGGCTGAGGAATAACAATAATTTGGATCTATTTAAGGCGATTGTGGGATAAACCACAACCTTTGTTGTGGTTACTGCAGTACACATTGTGGGCTGGGACCACCCCACCCCCTCTCACCCATCCTCCCCTGCTTTCTGCCCGCTAAATCCCACCGACCGGCCCTGTTACTGCAACAATGACCATGCCACTGTGCTCTTTCACACAGTACCATTCATTAAAAATGAGGTTGTCGGCCATTCATAAAAATACATTGTCATGTTATGACTTTTCTGCCCGGATTGTGCAAACCAACCCCCCTCCACCACCCTGGCAGGGACTCAGTGATGAAGGACCAGCTTGGATCCAATGATGGGATTCAGCACAGTCAGTTTTAATATCATTGCATTTGACCTCCTTTTGAACCTTTTTTTTCCTGCTGCAATGTGATTGGATTAAACAAAGCAGATGGTTCTGGGACGGGAAATACTGTAAGATGGTTGTTGCGCAGCCACTTGCCTTTAGTGGGTAAATTTCTCCTAAACCTGATTGCGAGGCAAATTCGTGTAATCCGTTTAATGTGCATTGTCAGTGTCGATCTTTCCGAGCAGATTTGGACAATGTTAGTTGGCGTCCAACGGAGGTTTTTTAGACTCTGTGTTCAGTGTCGACTATTGTTGTGCTGATAAAACGATTGTCTGTCTTTCTTTTCCAATGTGCAAAAGATGCAAAATTTGTTTAAAATGCAGCTCATCACACTCCATTTCCTCTCTGACATAACGGCGGCCTGGGGAGCGCGGTGAAGGGTTTCGAGAACGGAGGCAGTGGGCAGTAATCTAGAGCCGGCGTGAGCGGTACACCTGTGCTCTGGGCTTACTGCTGTCCCCCTGTGTAGTGAGGCAGGAAATGGCACGGGGGGGGTTGGCACCAGTCAATTTTTGCTAATTAGTTTTGTATTAACTCCTCAGTCGTCCCAGCGCTCGGCCACTGAGAGAGAAATGGGCCCCGTGATGGGAGCTCGGCTATTTTTATTTTTATCCTCCTTTATTCACACATTTATTTAATGCTGCTTGTGTTGGACTTGCTACAGATGACTTTGGTGT